CTTTAGAGATTAAGTTGTTGAAGAAGTCCCAATTAATCAAAACGAAGTTCTAGTTATTTTTAATGTCCAAATTCCCTACGATACTTATTTATTAATAATTTTATTTTTGGACGAGAGACGAGAGAAATAACTAATTTTATATATATTTTTATTATTTTTTTAATTATATATTTATTATATTTTATATTATATTATATTTAGTATTTTTATTAATTATTATTATTATTATACTATATTATTACCTATAATAATATCTATATTATTATTACTAATGAAATATTCTTAACGCTACTCTGGAGTAGTCAATGGTTCGTGTGTGCTTTTTGGTTTTATTTTTTCTTTTTAATTTTTTTCGAATGGGTCACCCATCCAGGTAGAGGAAGAGAAAAGGAAGAGGCGTCGACAGAAAGGAGGGATTTTCGCGTCAGACGCCGGATATTAGCCTGTCGTTGTCGACGCCCTGAAAGGTGGCCTCGCCCTTTTAGGGTGAGCCACCGAACAAAAAAAAAAACAAAAAAAAAAAAGAAGAAAAAAGAACAAGTAAAAAATTTTCCATAGCAAACACCGCTCGTCGAACTTCAAACGAATTACTTTCTCCTACCATGATGATTCCACCCCCTTCCCCCTTCCTTTTTTGTCCTTCTTCTTTTCCCTCTTACCCCTCTTTCAGCGTTTTTCCGTTCCTACCCCACGTAGAGACTTGCAACTGAAAACCAAATCAGCTGAGGACAAAAAGAGAAAGATAGGGAGGGTGGGTGGTTGGATATGGGGTGGAATGATAGTCTCCCTTTTCCCTATATCCCTACGGGTTAGCAAACAAAGTGGGAACAGTCGGATGTCTTTTTATATTATATGCACTTCCTCCTATCTTTTTTTCATTTTTCTTTTCTTTTACAGTTTAAAATAATAGATTACGATTAATTCTACATTTAGGGATGATTTATTGACTATTTTTTAATGACTTACATACATAGTTTCAATGAATAAGTTAATAAAGAAGAAAAATTAATATTTTTACGTATATTTCATTATGGTATTAAAATATATTATATATATTCTCTTTAATATTAATCAATTTTATTGCTAATTATTATATATTTTTTATTTAAATTTTTATTCATTTTGTAAATATATTCATGTAGTCCTTTTATTTATTGTTAATTTCTATGGATATATTATTTATTTATTTATATTTATTTGTATGTATTCTTTTATTTTTTTTTCTTCTCTTTTTTTATATAATATATTTTAATTAATTACTTTATTTATATATTTATATTATCTTTATATTATCCTTATATCTTTGAATATTTATTCTGGTTATGTAACAATGGATAATTCCTGTCAATGTTTAAATAAACATGTATATATGTAGTATATGTACGTGACAATATGTATCATACTACTACACACGTTATATAACATATTATTATATTTTCAATTTTTTCCACAAATTTATCTCGTTTCATTACGATCGTTAACTATTTTTATAATTATTCTATTACATTGTTTTATCACCATCCACCACCCCTCACCCCCTCATTCATCCTTTCACTCTGGGTCTCTGTATTCTATGTTTCTACAAACGTAATTAGCAGGAACCAAAGGGTGACAAACTCAAACATGTTTATCGCAAACACGTCGAAAACCCCATTCAAACGAAATACACAAATTCCCACGCATAACTAGCTGTTAAGCAGATATCATAATAATGATAATAAATGGGAGATAAAATGAATGATGGGCATATATGATAATGGCAATAAAAGATACGATATTATTTTGTAAACTCGTGAGTACTTATATAATGAAAAAAACAGAGAGAGAGAGAAAAAATAATAAAAAAAAATTAAAGAGACAGAGGGAATTAAAAAAGAAAAAAAAGATAGAGAAAGAGAGAGAGAGAGAGAGAGAGAGAGAGAGAGAGAGAGAGAGAGATATCTGTCGTGTGAATACAGTAGCACGATTAGCCGTCACTATAATTACAATGTATCCTTGGCTAATCTATAACCGGTGGCATATAATTTATACGATGCAAATATCGATGAGTAAGAGAGAGAGAGAGAGAGAGTGAGAGGAAGGGGAGGAGGTTGTTGGATTGGAAATTATAGGCTTTATTGTCGAGTCAACTGGGTATATCCACAGAGAGGCGTTATTAACGATCACGTAAAAATGATAGAAAGGTCTCGATCGATCTATAGATCCATCGATTTATCGATTATCGACTATCGATACTCTTCTTCTTCTTCTTCTTCTACTTCTTCTATATAATTTCGTACTCGTGCTAAAACCCATAACGTAATTTTATGACACTTTTGTAATTTTGAAATAAGCACTCGTCGAACACGATATTATTTTTCCACTCGAATGGATTGAAAATTGCAAATACGTAATGCAGATAATAAAGAATGCACAATAACTAAACTCGTGTTAGATTATTCGTATTTTGAATATTTCTTTTTTCTTTTTTTTCTCATTTCTTTAACACACGGTAAAATATTTATTTTTATTCGCAAGTACTTTTTTTTTTCATTATTATAATATCATATTTATGGATTGTTGTGTAGCTGATAGATGAGTTCATAGGTGTTGGAAAAGATTTTTGATCAGACAAGAAACAAATTAATAAACATCGAAAAGGAACAAAATAAAAAGCCATTGTTGGGATAGTTATTGGACAAAAGAAAAAAATACATTAGGCTAGTAGTAAACACTCGTGTAGTTGATTAGAATGGTCGTCGATTAACGTTCAGACTCACTTCGGAACGGAGATTAAGTGGCCTTAATGCTTATAATTTCCAACGTCCTCGTTAAACCTAATCAAAGATTGTCAGGAGAAAGAAAAGAAAAAAAAAGAAAAGAAAAGAAAGGACAAAAGAAAATAAACTCGACAAATAAAAATCGAGGGAGGAGAAAAAAAGAGAGAGAGAGAGAGAGAGAGACGTATCGATATGCGTGTGTTCGTGTGTGTGTGTGTAAGTGCATACACATTTACGTGTCATTAAGTTAGAAGTAACAGCAGCAATCAAACGGATATTTGCGTGAATAGCATTGCCACAAGTACAAATCGACGATCGTAAATATACGAGTTATTGACGAGTGCACAGGATTATAACACGAGGAGTCAAATTATCGACATAATTCTCGGATACGTTAACGCGTCCGCCATGTTGCGTGGGATCTCATCCAGAACACCGATTATTATTGCAATATTAACCTTGGAGTCGAACATGTAATTATAATATAAATATAACATATAACTATTATAATAAAATATAACTAATATATATATATATATATATAATAAATAATATATAATAATATATAATAATATATAATATATAATATATACTAATATATAACTACTATAATATAAATATTTCATTTTTATTCCCACAAAATTGTTTTTGTTTAATTTTTATCTAATAATAATAGACACTATTCTAGAAGGGGAATATAACGTGTACGAAATTCGTTGAGGTATTCAAATAACGAAGAGAAACTCTTTCTCTCTCCCTCTCTCTCACAGACTCTCTCTCTTTGAATTCTAGATTCTCGATTCGCAATGTAGCCAAGAGACACACTCGTGTTAGCCTTTCAATCAAGGTAATTGCCGTTCGATCAAGTTCGAACCTGAGCCGATCCTGTCCAACGACAGCTTCCCTGACCGAGTTCGTGTTCCTCGAAATTGGAAAGCTCGTGAGCTTTCGCACTGAAACACCGATCCCGATCACAAAGAGAGAGAGAGAAAGAAAGAATATTTACATGGATCAATTGGTTCCCTCCCACTTACGAAATTAATGCTGCTACCCTTTTATTTTTTCTTCTTCAAATTTCTTCATTACGACCAATAATAAATAATATCGAATCGGTCGAAAAGTTTGTGAGCGTTACGTTATTTTAAAATTTTGCGCAAAAATCCGTATAAATTGTATAAAAATTCATTTTGAATAATCCAATTAGTTTTTTCTCTCGTCCAAAAATAAAATTATTAACCCTTTGGTTACGGATTTGTTTAAGAAAATATTTGCATATGGAACGGATATAATTTTTGATTGCTTCGAGTAGTATGTAAAAGCAGTACATTTTACGTAAGAATTTATTAATTACTAAAATATTGGTGACATATGTAGTATTAAGATGTCTTCAAGTAATCGCTGCCAAACGACATGGTGAATGAAAAATAAGTGAATGACGACTCTCAGACGTCAAATGTACCCAAAGGGTTAATAAATAGGTATCGTAAGGAATTTGGACATTCAAAATAACTAGAACTTCGTTTTGATTAATTGAACATTTCGTCCCTTTTATTGGGACTTCATCAGCAACTTAATCTCTAATAGTGTTTTGAATATTATAAATAAAAAAAAAAATGTATGTCTGGTTAAATAAAAAAGACGCTGAACTTTAGAGATTAAGGTAACACCTAATATTTTATAATGTATGGCTCTCATGTATTTCGTAATATAAAAATAACAATAAAATAAAATTTCCAGATGCTGAATAAGTCCCAATAAAGGGACGAAACGTCCAACTTATCAAATCTAAATTCTATTTCTTTTGATGTCCAAATTCCCTAAGATACCTTTTTATTAATAATTTTATTTTTGGACGAGAGAAACAACTAATTGATTAATCTCTAAAGTTCAGCGTCTTTTCTATTTAAACAGACATACATTCTTATAATATTCAAAACACTACACATCTAAACTTCGTTATTATATCTCTTGATCCGTTATATTTGAACACTCAACTTGAGTATAATAATTTTGAATAATATTTATAATCGTAATTAGATAAAAAAAACAATGGGATAAATTGTCGTGGTCGTGGTCGTGGTCGTGGTCGTCCACGTGCGTGGGAGACGTGCACATCTTGGTGGCGCGCTGTCCGGTGGATTATATCGGCACATGCGCCCTGCTTTTGAATCTTTCCTTGCCTCCTTCCCCTTTATCTCCCTCTCTTCTACCTCATCCACCACCTCATCCACCACCACCTCCTCCACCATCTCTCTGGAAAAGCGGATATAGCCGGCGGCGTGTCAAAACCATTCCGTTTGAGTCGTGACGCGAATAGTACGGCGTGTTTCGCCATAGCGTTCGGTTCGACGTTTTCTATCTATCTTTTTCTATCTTTCTCTATTTCTCTCTTTCTATCTTTATCTCTCTCGCTATATCTTAATCACATTCTCACTCTCGTTCTCGTTCTCGTTCTCGTTCATTTTCTCCCTCGCACCGTCCATCATTTTGTCTCTAATTGCAAGTAGTATTCACGTTAAATATCGTTATTATTATTATTATTAGTTTCATCGTTTATTCTCATTATCATTTTCAAATTACAAACGAGAATTATTTCATCGTTCATCCGCGTTCGATATTTTGTGAGAGAGAAAACTAACCAACCACCAACACAACTACCAACACCACTACCACCACTATCATCACCACCGAGTTGGTATTATTTCGCGCGTGTTTGTTATTATTTCTGTGGGTGTTGTTTGTTTCTTGTGTGTAAAATACCTTGAAATAATAATCAACGACGTACTTATTGGCGGATATTAATTGACGAGGATTTACAGATGAAACTTTGAGATCTATCAGATAATGTTTTTAAAAGTATGTTCGATCATTGGTGAAAAGGAAATTGTGCATCATCGAGGCTTTCTGTATTATACTCTTGCCGGATTTCTTCTTTAGGATTCATCGTAATATCGGACGCATTATTATGCTACAGGTACTTTCTTTTTTTATTTCATTAAACTTTAGAATTATTAACGCGTTCATTTATATATATATATATATAAGTTAATTTCCAATATTTGCTAAGAGTTCATGCAATTTCTAAATTAGTTTTATCGATTGATTTCATCAAGAAGGATAAAAATATCGAAAGAAAGATCTGTGAACGAGGGAAATATTTTTTATAGGTAAAAAAACACGCGTACACATATACGCACGAGAAATTAATTTGTGAGTTTATAACGAAAGAGCGCTAAAATGCCTATTCGGAGTTTGTTCAGTTTGACCCTCCCCCTCCCTCTCCCTCCCTCCCCCTTTTCTCTATCTATCTCGCGCACGATATATGCACGAGACCGAATATTCCCAATAAAACGAAAAACAATATTCCGTATCCGCGATTTTGGTGGTGGTCGTCGAATTTTTATCTCAATACGTTTTTATTCCCATGTATATGTATAGGTAATACGTAAAAATATTTTTTTTATTTACAAGAGCGACCGCTATTTCATCAATAGGAATTAAAATTCAAACAAATCGATTTTTGTGTTTTTTCTTTTATTTTTTTTTTATTTTTTTTTCAACGTACCCATATACATATATAAGCTTTGACAAAATTATATATATATATATATATATATATATGTATGTGTGTGTAGGGTGACTCGGGATATAAAATAATTAGAAAATAATATCTCCGTAGTTTATCGTGATTTCAGAAAAATATTTCCAAACGAAAATTCACTAATTCATTTTATAATTCGCGCAACATCGATATTTTATTATAAAATAATAAATTCAATAATTAAATTAAATATATCATTTAAAATTGGGGAACAATTGAAATATACTTTTTTTTTTTTTTTTATAAATTATCGAATTCTTTTCGAGAGACGCTACGCGAGAGCTTATAATATAATATAATTTATATCAAATATTTGTTATATATATAATTTTCTTTTTTTTTTCTCTCTGTCGAGTCAAACCAGCGAGAATATCGAAACGACGGAAGAGAAGCCTTTTAAAAAAAGGAAAAAAAATAATATAAAAAGAGAACGGACAACGTGTCTCACGCCTGCCGTAATTTCAAACACGACGAGTTGGGAATGTATATATAAAAAAAAAAAAGAGAAAGAAAGCGAATGGAAAAATTTTGTGCTTATGGCGAAAATAATGTACGAAATAAGAAGAGCAACGGCGATTTAAAATCGTTTTTTTTTTTTTTAACGTGTGACAAAAGAGAAGACAAATAATAATAAAAAAAAATAAAAAAAGAAATTGGAAGAAAGGGTGAACGAAAGAGAGAGAGTAAGTAAAAAGAGTAAGTAAGACAAAATAAAAACGTCGAGTAGCTACTCTTCTACACTTCGATCCGTTCTATATGTATCTCCTTTTCTCTTTCTGTTTTTTATTGTTTCCTTTTTTTTTTTTTTTTATTATCTGTTTCCCTTTTTTCCTCTTAGAGACTAAAAACGAGCTCTAAGCTCTTTAAAAACTCTCCGACGCCTACTGGAAAATCGGGTTTACACCAACTCAACTGGCACGTACGAGCTTTCGTTCAAAGTTTCTACGGCGTTTCCGTCCGGAAAAGGGCCACCCCTTTTCTCTTTCTCTTTCCCTTTTTCCCTTTTTCTCGTTTCACCGGTCGTGTCTCATCCCATCATCCCTGTACGCGAGATATATTCCTCTCGTCCTTTCTCGCGAATAATTTTCTTTTTTTCTTTTTTAATACCTCTTCTTTTTGTCTCTCCGACTCGCGTTTCACAGACCCACCCCTCCCCCCCTCTCTCTCTCTCTTCTCGCACCCTTCAACCAACTTTCCCTTCTCGCCTATCGCTATTACCGTTTCGTAAAACCACCCCTCCCCCCTTCAAAAGTATCGGTTCTTTCTTCTCTTATCTTTTTAAAAGCAATCTAGGGATAAGAAAAGGATCGTTCGAAAGAATATTTTTTTTATGTTTGTTTTTAATTGCTACGAATCATATTTTTATCATCCTTAATTATCATCGTTCGATGATACTTTGTTTTTTTTGTTGCTGTTGTTGTCCAATTTATATACAATTGTAATTTATAGAAATGATATAATTATGATACTGATTATTACAAATAATTGTCTCATATCGTACAGTATTGTTATTCTTTTATTTTTAATATTCGAAACGCTTGGAATAGTTATTAAATAAAACACAGGAGATATATTCGTGTTTTCAATTAAAATCGATGTATTATATTTAATTGCACCGATAAATTTGTTCATCGTGAGGATCAGGATATTCGTAAATGAAAATCATTTATTGTCATTGCTGCATATCGTTACTTTTTCATTGATTAATATACACGTACATGTACTCGTAGGATACGTTTACTTATACATTTTCATTTATATATATATATATAGACTTGAAAGTTTACAAAATAATGTTCAGGAACGAAGTGTAACGATTATATTCTCCCATTATCAGCGAGATAATTATAAAGTTCAAACAATGGCGTGCCTGGGCTTTCGCGAAATATAGATTTCAACAAACAGTAACCTAACGAACGATCGTTTAATTCGAGGTTAATCGAGGGAATCGCCGTTATCAGATGCAAACATTCGCTTACCTAGCTAAACGTGTGAATTTATTTCTCTCGGCTAATTTCGATGAGAAAGCTTAGCAGTGTGGAGGGGGGAGAGGAATGCAATTTGAATTGTCAAGCGTAAATTAGAATAAAATCAAATGCATTCGTATTAACTAATAATAATAATAATAATAATAGATTAAACGCTTTTCCAAATATATTTCGTAATCATGAAAATGGTGTAATTATAAATTCAGGATAGCGAAAAAATTCGTATATTACATCCAATAACTTGTTGTAACACGTCGCGATTATTAATCTATCGTTATAAATTTGTTCGTGTTTTTTTTTTGTTGTTGAAAATATTCAAAAGTTCAATTATAATATATATATATTTTGTATATATCAAATTAATATCGCTTTAATAATAATCTAATTAAAATATCTAGTAATTCTCCATTACGCGAATATAAATTCATAAAACTTTGCTTTACGCAATAGTTTCGAACAGAAAGAAAGTTTAACTCGTGTTTGAAAAGTTTCAATATAATACATATATACATTTATAATAAATTATATATATACTCGGTGTACAAACTTTTCATTACGTTTAACGATTAACAAACAATTTTAATCAAATAAATAATCTCTCTCTTGTAGGTACACTCGTAGTGCGATTAACGAGGAAATTTAAAGAAATAAAACGCAATGTAAAAAAAATAAAAAAAAAAACGAAAGAAAAATAAATGGGGGAATGAATTCGTTTAAATGTCTGATCCATCTTAGAAAAAAACGTCGTAGAAGTACGTCATCCTCTTTTAACCCTTTGAGTACTGAATACTTTTAACTAAAGTATTTTACAGATACGGAATAGTTTATTACTAATACGTTTGTTTCGTTGATTCATTTTATTTTAATCACATCTAATAATCAATTATATATTTAATAATGAAAGTATTTGATTTCTTATATATAATTTTTTTATGTGACAATTATTCAAAAAAATTCTTAATAAATAGGTATCTTAGGGAATTTGGACATCAAAAGAAATAGAACTTATTTTTGATAAGTTGGAAAAATAATATATATTTATATATTACGTAATGTAAAAATAACAATAAAATAAAATTTCCAGTTGCTGAATAAATCCCAATAAAGGAACGAAACGTCCAACTTATCAAAAATAAGTTCTATTTCTTTTGATGTCCAAATTTCCTAAGATACCTTTTTATTAAGAATTTTCTTTTTGGACGAGAGAAACAACTAATTATTCAAAACAATAATCAATTTTCAAAAGTAACATTACATTATTTTATATTAATATTATCAAACCGCATATATGCGTCCACAGCAGTCAAAGGGTTAATCCCCCCACCCTTACCTCTCCCTCCATTGATAATTCCCTCTTCCATCTTTATCGAGAGAGGACGAACCTAACTCTTATATCGAATGAGTCCCTTATTATAAGAACCCTCGATTCAACCGTCTTTCATCGTCATCGTCATAGTCACACCGTCGTCACCATCGTCACCATCGTTCTCGTTGAACAAAAGGGCTTGCGTGAAGAACACCAGAAGGGTCCAGCAACCTAGTAGCTACTACTAGTTTGCTGAATCGTTGCTTGCCATCCCACAACCCTGACGCGAACTAACGAACGAACATCCATCGACGTTTTGCTGGGCTTTTTCTTGCTAGTTTGTTCACTTTGTTCTCTTTCTCCTCTCATCTCTTCATCATATTCAACTTCCTTCCCTTTTCTTCGTAATACTTGATAAAAGAGGGATAATTCCACGTCAAAAATCGATTTCATCCGAGGGATGAAACTCACTCATTCGCTCGTGCAACAAACCGAATCGATTTACTGTGAAAGGAACGATTCATCAGGTGAATATATCAACGCATTTTTGTTTCTGCTTTTCTTTTTTTTCTCTCTCTCTCTCTCTCTTTCATTCATTCTTCCTTTTTTTCTTCTTTTTTTTTTTTATTGATACGTAATTTGTGTTGTCTATTGTGTTGAAACACTCGTGATGTTTCGCATATTTCATTTTTTTGTATTCATATAGAGAAATTTTTCTTATACGAATTCCAAAGTATTAAACATTAAACCTACCGATATATTAAATGTATAACTATTATATAGTTACTATGTATTATTAATATATTATTTGTCGATTCAATAACGAAAGAAAAATTCTATTAGAATATTCTTTTTAAAAAAGAAGAAGAAGAAGAAAAACAAAACCGTGCAATTCGTTTTAGTAGGAGTATATAGGAAATTTATTTTTCCCTCGTAACCGTTATAATATATTATTTCTCGTTTCATTCTCGAAAGTGGGGAAAATATAATGGGAGTAGTAGTATTACAAGAGATGTAAAAGCGATGCTGTTGTCTCGGAGATTCCAAATACAAAGCGACCGGTAATTAATGTGATATTATACGAAAACCGACGTGATACATCGCCAAGTTATAAAGACCGGGGCTAAGTGAAAACTACCAGCTATATAACAACGTCATTTTCTTCTCCCCTTTTTCTTGTGAGAGGAAAAATAAATAAGAAAAGTAAATTTTTTTCTTCTCTTTTTTTTTTCTTATTTTAAAACAAAGGAAAAAACCGTACGCTCTTTCATATTACAGGATAACTTTTTTACATCGTAACTTTTAGATGCACGTATTTGCATACAGAACACCCCCGTCTCCTATCCCTATCCCTACCTAGTTTTCATATTAAATATATCTTGTTCTTTTTTTTTTTCTCGTGTTTGATAACTAATTCGAAAAGAATACTCTCACGCTTGTTGAATCAAATCGCAAAGTTCAGTTGCGAACAGTTGTGCCAGTGTTCGCGGATTACATTTTGTCTCTGTGTTATTATCATGAAATGGCGAGAGAGAAAGAGAGAGAGAGAGAATATAGGGATATCGATTAAGCGTTTGATGTTCACCGACTTCACGTCAAAACGGTCAGTCATAATTTTCGCGGACGTTTAATCAAGCTGCACACACTGTACCCGTTCATAATTCATAGTCGATGTTGTGTTCTATATTCCCCACCATTCCTCTTTACCTCTATCAAACAATCCCTTCTCCTGGTCGTATAACGAACACAACATCAACATATTGGACTTTAACAGAGTTTATCGTGATCAAAAAATCTAATTTTTTCATTTCTTTTTATTTGAACATATAATTATTATAATCACATTGATCGTTCGAAACTTTCTAGTGAAATTAAACGTCGAAAAATGATAAAATTAATAAATATAAATGAATTTTGAAATGATTTTAAGTAGCCTGAAAAATGAGAACCGATTTCGAACATACAACATATTGGAGAGCAGAGTTTATCGTGATCAAAAAATGTAATTTTTCCATTTCTTTTTATTTGATCGTATAATTCTTATAATCATATTGATCGTTCAAAACTTTCTACAGAAATTAAACGTCGAAAAACGATAAAATTAATAAATATAAATGAATTTTGAAATGATTTTAAGTAGCTTGAAAAATGAGAACCGATCACGAAAGTGTTAATAATATATAATACAATCATCTCTCTCGTTTATAAAAATAAATGATTTCAAGTAATTTTAAACTCAATCGCGAATCGTAACAAATATTATTACTACAGATTCGTAAGTATATTCTATATACATACATATCTAATTCTCGTGAACTTGAGCGTAATAACATCACGAGGAGTTTCTCGAGTTTAATGGAATAAAAAAAAGAAGAAAGAGAGAAAGAGAGAGAGAGAGAGAGAGAGAGAGAGAGAGAGAGAGAGAAGAAACGAGTAAAAGGTCAAAGTTGGTGGATCGAAGCCACGAATGTGAACGCGCCTGCTCGCGACCCACTTAAATTCTTGGAAAAGCACCGAGCACCACCAAGTAGTACTAGTTCGTGACAGAAAAACTTGCAAAACATACGAGAGAAAGAAAGAAATAGATAAAAACTTGAGTAAAATAAGAAGAAGAAGAAGAAGAAGGGGTAAAGGGGGGTGGATGGAGGGATAAAAGAAAGAAGGTCGTCTGTTGGCACGACCTTGTCGTCTCTCTCTCTCTCTCTCTCTCTCTTTCTCTTATTATATCTCAGCAACCTTTAGAGGTAAAACACTTGTGAAGAGAGAATGACATAGAAATTTACGAACAATTGATCTTCCCTCCTTCACACACATACACATACACACACCCACACTGTACATACATAAGATGCATGTAACGTATACTTGTTAGAAGAAATAGAAAGATAGAATCAGGCTTTCGTGAATGAACACTGAAACGAACGATCGAATTGTGCCTATCTCTGAAGGTTATCGTCGGGAACATAAGTAGACCGTAAAAAAGTCAAGTAGAAAAAACTTTAACATGTGTTTATATATAGATATATATATATATATGTATATATATATATGTATTACATATAACTCTTCCTCTTCCCTTTTTTTTAAACTAAAATCATTTTTATACGCGTGTCACTTTTTGACGGTCGATAGATAGAAGAATATACGTTGTAGGAAGTTTATAGTCGACAAAACAACGAACATTATACTAATTATCGCAGTGACAGTCACGACTATGCATGTTTTATGCTTGTGATCGAACGTGTGTTACATATATATATATATATATATATATATATATATATGTGTGTATATGTATATGTATATATCTGGTGGATTGAAGACAAAGCGACGTTGAATATAGTTAGAAGGAAATGAGCGTTCATCGGTTATAACATTGTGAAAAGTTTCAAAAGTTTATGAACTCGTGATTAATTATGACTAAGCTTGTATAACAAGGACGAATCCTAGGTAATTCGCATGATATTAATTACCTGATGTATGTAATACGTAAATGAAGAATGAGTATAATATACAGGATTAGGAAACGTTACATAAGATAACGTAGAAATGAGTCAGTCAATTTGATATTTAATATTAATATATTGATTATATTTGATATTAACGAGATTTCATTTGATTTGATTTTTAATTTTTTTTTTGATAAATTCTAATTAATAGAAAATTTATAAAATAGGGGTCAGGTAAAAATAAAAATAAAAGAAGTTAGATATATAAATAATATAGGCGATGTTTGTGATAGATAACATAGACTGATTAAATAAATCTCATTATTTTAGATTGGTGCGTTTACACGGAAGGTGTATCCCATGAAGTCGAAGGACGACGTAAAGAGAGTAGTAGTCGAGGGGTCGAGGTTCACGCTAATCTACGGCAAATGGTGAATTTCAAAGTGAAACGAAAGGAGGGAAAAAAAGTGGAAGAAAAAAAAGAAGAAGAAGGTGGAGGAGAGGGTGGAGGAGTGGAAGGGGAAGGGGAAGAAGAAGAAGAAGAAGAAGAAAAAGAAAAAAAAGAAGAGGAAGGGGAGGAAAGAAAATTCGACAAAATGTATAAAATCTTGCGTCGAGGTTCGGGACGTGTTTTCGTCCTGTGCGTTGTCGTATTATCCCTTCTTCTATGTCTTTATTACGTAAATCAAGCACAAGCACCGTCCACCGCCTCGTCGGCGGCTATTTTAAACGACGAACTTCGTTACGATAGAAGCGTTACACCGGTCACACCTGATTACAGCGAACTACCAGATTCTAGGATATCATCGGCAACTTGTCCTGTCACCGAATCGCGTCAGGCAGACATCGATGCTCAACGTGAATTTGAGGAATTCGATTTTCAGGTATTTATTATTATTTATTTATATATTTTAATGACGATGATAATGTGAAATTCATTCATTCCAAATGATCTTTTCTTTTTTCTTTTTTTTTTCACGCAGAAAAATATAACACGCAAATACTAATGATACAATTTTTCTCTATAGCCGTGCCATCTATTATTATTATTATTATTATTATTATTAATAAATAGGTATCATAGGGAATTTGGATATTTAAAACGACTAGAACTTCGTTTTGATTAATTGGACGTTTCGTCCCTTTATTGGGACTTCTTCAGCAATTGGAAATTTTATTTTTTTGTTATTTTTATATTGTGAAATACATGAGACCCATAGATTATAAAATATTAGGTGTTACCTTAATCTCTAAAGTTCCGCGTCTTTTTTATTTAAGCAAGTATACATTTTTGTAATATTCAAAACACTATACACCTAAATTTCGTTATCTCTTGATCTGTTATATTTGAACACTCAACAAAACTGTTTCAATTTAGACTAGTGTTTATTAGTCTAGATATCCTCACTGTTAAGGTGCCCTCTATTCCCATGTTCTATTTATTATAATTAAATTAAAAAATTTCGTTATAGATGTTGTTTAAATTATTTGTGTCTGTTCTAAAATTAACTGTATTATTGTTCGTTATGTGGTACATTTCACTAATGTTTCTGTAATTGTCTTCTAAATCAAAAATCGTTGCTGCGTCAAATTTAAAATTATCTCCTGTTTTAAAATGATGCTCAGCTAACGCGGTGGTATTAGTTTTCTTAACATTAGTATTATATCATCGTGTAAAAATTCGATGGTAAAACTAAAGTAAAGAAGATTTATCTACGCCGAGAAATATAGAAAAAAGTACATCACCTGTGGCAAGTTCGAAACGGGCCCGCGTTTCCCCCACCCCACCCCTTCGATTTATCGACACTCGAGTTAATCCGACGAAAAACTTCCCCACCGGCGGGCGGGGGTCATACTTTTACTCGAAAAGAAATATATTCGTACGGTGATGGCCAAAGACACTCGCGCGATTAATTTTACTTTCCTCGCTGGTAACGTAGCTCGTCGTTACCAGCGAACCAGTTTCGTCGTTGTCTTCCAACCTCCGGGTGCAAGAAAAAGAGAAGAAGAAGAAGAAAAAAAAAAGAAGAAAAGAAAAGAAGAACGAAGTACAGTCGTTTTAAAAGTACCGCGTCATTAGCTACGGAACTTTCCTTTCTTCCGGTCTTCACCGCGATGGGGGTGGGATGAAGGGGGGATGAAGGGGAAAAGAGGAGAAGAGATAGAGGAGAGTGCTTCCTTTGAGTTTCGCTGATTTAATGGCCGACGAGTCGCTCTCATAAAGGCATTTTTCTTTTCCGCGACGATATTCCTTTTCTCGAACGAATATAAGAAGCGAAAAAAAAAGGGAAGGGTGAAGAATAGCGAAGAGGGATGAACTATCGACTATAGTTATTCCTTTACTTTGCCTTTCTTTATCTTTCTATTTATCTTTTTCACTCTCTTCGAGACCGAGATAATATAATACTTTATTCCTTTTTTTTTAACATTACATTTTCGTACGCTGTGTCTTCTTTGGTAAATTATTATTCGTTCGAGAAAATGTTTTTGATGCTCGACGTAATCGTTAAAACCATGAGAATTATTAATGGAACAAAAGACGCAAGACATTTGGAAGATTGTATGGAACATTAATTCAACGTTAGGAAAACGATAACATATTGTAGTTGCATGTTCGGCCATGTTGAACTAACCTAAAAGCACCGTAGTAATCTAGAGAGGCTTGCCAGCAGCTGGAAAGCAGTAATATTCGGAATAGTCGAGGCCTCGTAGTAACCCCTCTCTCTCATTCTCTCTGCACTATACTGAATCGTTCATGAACCGGTATTGCGATTTTCAGTGGCCAAAGACCGTTTCTGCTATTTCGCAATGGCGGCGTATTAACACGCTGCCAGGAACCATTGCAATGCCCACGGATTCAACTTCACCGAATCAATGCTCGTACAATTCGGACCGTGTTGGTTGGTGCTTTTCTCGTTGCCTTACGATTGCAATTTTTAAGTCTGTTTACAGCCTTGTGATTTAAAATTTTGTGAAATTAGAGTTAACTTGACTTCTTTTATCATTTAATTGCATGTTCGGCCATGTTGGACTAACCTAAAAGAATTCTATTGCAGTGGCATCTATCTCTTTAGGATTTTCACATTATTTTTCGACGTCTGACGTATTCGTTAATTATTGCGATAATATAATTTATTGTAATTTGTGTTTTACAATTAATGCCGAACGATAAGAAAATAATCGTAGAATTTGATCGCGAAAACATAAAGCATGTCCTACTTAACGCGTTCCATTTTTCATATCGCTATGCCGTTTTTAACGATAACACGTTTCGTCCCGGGTATTTTTCAAATTAAACGATAACTATAAATTGTGCTTTTACGTCAAACAAACGTCGTCGCAGTTATTTGTTATAAGATATCGCGAATCGATTTATATTCTTTCAAAACGAACGAGAATAGCTTGCTTTTTTTTATCCCCTTACTACATAAATCAGTTATAGCTAGTTATTTCACGAATACCTATAATTTGTTATATATAATATTAAATATGATATATACGATATTAAAAAAAGCATCGTTTAAAAGGAGAATATAAAATATTGTATTTAATGTATGCAAATGAGATAGAAAAATAGATAATGCATACGATAGAAACACGTCTGGTCAGAAGCATAGAAGAACAACGATTCAGAAGGTTAAGCTAATCGAAAGAACGTTTTCTCAATCGTCGAATGTTTTTTTCATACTTAAATACGTCACTCTTCAATATTGTCGTTTTTATTCTTCTGTCAAAGATCTCTTCGTCGAATTTGTAAACATATATCATAGATCTACGTTTACATTTGGTATCGATCGAGTATATTGCATAGCTGTTTTTTTATTTACTATTAGTCTTATTCGAGCTCCGAGACATGTAACAACGATATTATAACAATGTAAGTAAAATTTATTTCTCGTATATGAGTGCTTGTATTGTTAATATACAAAGGATATACATATGTGCTCGAGTGTGTGATGAGTGATATATATTATTAGTAATTTACATATTATAGTTTATATGCTTATAAATATATATGCATATTTATAGTGTATTATTATACATAATATATTATTAGTATTTTATATAAAACGAAATACATCTCTAACACGATTAATTATTCAAATATTAAAAAAAAATAATGCAAATATATATTTATAACGTTGTTCTTCCATACTTCTTTCATAAACAAAAATTAGGAAAAGAGAGAAAAGTCGAATGAAGTGTAGCGAATGTAGTTAATGTAATTAACGATGCCACAACCTCTTGACGTAGGCCACTTTAATGACATTACCGTCACTCGTAATTATTACTAATGTCGAGCGCGTACTCACCGAATAAGGGAGTGACGGGGAGGTACTTCTATGGGGGGAAGAAGGGGGAAGACCTCACCCGTTCATTCGAAAGTCGTGTGTCACGGTACATACATAGATCACGTAACGTTACGTGCTACGAGGGAACCACGAGAAAAGTAGACGTAGAAATACATTCTCTGTCTCTCTCTCTCTCTCACACACAAACACACACTCACACTCTTTTACACTCATTTGCTCTCGTATACTTCATATACGCGCGATTGTGTCCGAGAAAACGCTACGAGAGCACGGCCTCGTTCTCGTGTTTCGGCTCGAATTCAAACCAAAAGCAACGAAATATGTATGTCGCGTGTTCCGAACCCCTGACTTGCATACAGTCAGAAAAGAAAAGATAAAAAGAGAGAGAGAGAGAGAGAGAGAGAGAAAGAGAGAGAGAAAGAGAGAGAGAGAAGTCGTCGAGTGCATAGAAGCATCGGTGAATAACATAAAACATATTTTCCCGTCGAGTATCATTTCGCATGAAGCAGCAATGGTAATTATTGAACTACACGTTAATAAACATTGATATTCATTCGAGCTTACAACGATACGAATTTTTAAACCCCTTCATAATATGCGTTTAATAACATAGAAAATTGTGTTCGACAAATGTTAATAATTATAAGTCAATTAGTTGTTGTTGTTGTTGTTGTTTAACACGTCTCGAAAAATAAAATGATTAATAAATTTATCAGAGGGAAGTGTTGAATAAGGTAAAAAAGAAATCGGAATGTTACGTTTTGATACTGTTGTTGAACGTTTCGTACATTTATTGGGACTTGTTCAGTAATGTCTACTCATGTGTTTATGAATAAATGTCTACAGAATGTGTACGCGCAAATTGTGATCATCCACTTTGCAAGAAAAAATGATATTTTATGAAAAGAAATAAAAAAAAACGAAGAATGATATAATAATATCTGGACTATAAATAATGATATAAGGGTAACGACGAACAAGGCGTTTCCAAGTTTTTCTCTTCGTGAAAGTTAAGAAAGCATATTGTATCTTCTCTCTCATTTTCTTTTTTTTCTTTTTCTTTTTCTTATTTTTTTCTTATTTTTTATCGCGATTGTTCACCTTGTTACGAGATAGAAAAGACTTTTTTTTCACGAGGAGAAGAAGAAGAAGAAGAAGAAGAAGAAGACTGAGGAGGAGGAGGAAGTTTCCCTTTCCTCCTAACTCGTAAATTTACGTTCTCGAGGATTTGTTTAGCTTTTGCCTCTACCACCATCACCACCCCCATCACCCACCCTCCTCTCTCCTCTCACTTTCTTGTCTCGAAACTCTCTTCTTTCTCTCGTTACGAAATGCTAACTTTCTTGGAGGCTTCTTTAAACCCCCCATCCCTTCCTTAGCTCGACCTTTCCCTTTTCTTTTCTTTTCTTTTCTCTTCTCTTCTTTTTTTTCTTTCTACCTTTTACGGTCCAGAAATTATTAATTCTGAGCCGCACGAAAGCATTGTTTCGCGGGTCATTATTCTCTCTCTCTCTCTCTCTCTCTCTTCCCCCTCCTCGTTCCCCCTCCCTCCCTTCCTTCTCTTATTTTCT